AACAGCAGACTGACTGCTCGTAAAATATACGACAGGTCTGGACCACTCGTGAATTTTGTTCGTATCTGAAAAAAATCTTAGAATACGAAAACATTGGTGAATGCCAAAAATTCTCCTAAATCACTCGTACGCACAATTTAAGAACAAATCTGTGCGTACGAACGGTTCTTGCATGAGGCCCATTATGAAGGATTTTAGGGATGTTGAAAACAGCTCCATTTTTTTCAATGGCAAAAAAGTGGCCGAAAAGCTGAAATAGCTGAAAAGGTATAAATAGCTGAAACACCAAGTCATAGCAGGACTGTCATAAATGAGCTACATTTTGATATATGAATTGTTGAAATAGCACAAAAATTGTAGAATGAGATGCTGAAAAACATACAGAATAGTGAAAGAATAACAGAGAAACACAAAACCAACAGTGTGAATAATATAAGGCATTCACACTATTAAACTGACCTAAAGAAATTTTTCTGTCTGCTACATTTGATCAGCTGTGACGGCCATCTTGAATCAAGTTRACTGCAAAGGTTAAACACTCATAGAAGTACAATCAGTGATTACTTTCTGAAACTCTCAATAAAATCCATTGAGTTTAATGAGATATTTTACCAAAAGAAACACACAGAAATATATATAGTGCAACACAATAATGGTAACTTTAAATCTGTCTTTTTTACCGATCAGATAGCTAGGCCTACTTTGGATGCTAAAAGTAAAAATTTATGAGCCGCAGAAGTGACTCATTTATAGAACAATATGAGCTGATTAAATAAGAAGTTAATAATTTTTACATGATTCGTACCAAAGTACTAAGTACAACTTTATACTTCAGCTGTGGTAACCGAGCTGTTGTTACATGTTCACATTTTAAGATGTTTCAGATTGGCTCTGGTAACAAAAGTGAAAAATAAGTATCAGCTACAAATTATACATACATTTACCGCACAACACGTTTGAACAATCTCTCAATCCTAAAAAAAGGTTTTTGTTTTTTTTTAAATATGTTAAGATAAAGATATTGAATCCATTGTAGCTGCAGTTTGAAGATCATAAGTGGTAACAGAGTAGCTTTAAGTATTTCTACTTTCATCTAGTTTTAGACTATTTAGGGCACATGTGTCAAACTCAAGGCCTGCGGGCCAGATGTGGCCCACGGGTGACTCCCGTGTGGCCCGCCATAC